TGCTTGGATGAATTGATAGGCAGGTGAAGGCAAATCACCAATGTTTTAAAACGGCGAGCAAAGACAATGTTATGCTAAGAAATGCAAGCTATAATTCCTGATTTCCACTGGAGGAATCAGAGTAGAGGACAAATCGACCCCAAAACAAGCTTTAGGGCTGCCAAATAATCATGTACATGGTCTGTGGGACTGTAAGGACAATCTAATGAAAAAACCAGTTGCTTCCGACTCGTCATAGCTCGTCGGAGGAAGAAGGCAAGATCAGGTAAGGGAAGCAAGTAGAAAGTTAACAATCTATTCGTTGAGATAAAGATAGTAGTAAATGGGAAAGTAAACGGAAGTAATGTACAGGAAGTTGAGTCGAAAGACAATAAAACGAGATGTGGGTGATCAGGAAAGATGTACAAGAGAGGATAGGGAGTTAAAAACACCACATCGTTGAATTGAGTCGGCGAGACGCCTTGCTTCGTAAATAAGTCAGATGTCTTGAGTATCAAATTAAAATGAGATAAAGAATTAAATAAAAAACAAATGACAAATCAGAAATGAAATCAGCATTGGCGAAAGATGACAGGAACCAAATAAGGGGTTCATCAAAAGTAAGAGACTTCAATCATCCAGTTGGATCATTTAATGGTTGAAAGAATTGGTACTCTAAAAATTGGTTGTATATTTCTACGATGGATCTTATGATTTTGATATGAGAAACGAGTCAAATTAAAACAACTCAATTTCTGAACAAAGAATTGTAGTCGCTATCCTAGGAGGAGCGTATAATTGAATAGCTGAAGTCACTTCACAAATGAGGAGCACAGTAAAAATAGGAAAGTGAGAACAAGAATAAGGTAATAGCATTACTGCTAATAAGTTAGATAAATAATGCTATCATTTATTAAATATTTGTGAAGAGCGATGGAACTACTAAGAGATGGAAGCTAAGGGGGATTTCAGTGACATCAGTCATATATAGATTGGCCAAGGTCAGCCAAGTCAAGCCTCATATAACTACTTGCCAGAGGGTCCAGCTCTTTGTTGTAGGTAAGGTCAAAATGGGAGCCAAAATAAGAAAGAGTGCGAAGGACTTTAAGTATAAATGAAAGAGGAAAGTTAGCAGTTAAGTAGTTTTCTCGATTCATTGTAGGTTAAACACCTGATACCAGACGGTAGAAAGCATCTCCTTTCCATATTTCTTGCTTAGGTGTCAACAAGTATAAAACGGAAACATACATACAAGGGCTGTTAAGTTAGATTCAATTAATCAATGTACGCAATTTAGCAAAAGCTATTAAGTTAGGTAAAATCTTTCCTGCATTACTATTGATATCTCAGACACTGTCACCGACACCAAACTAAACTCGTCAATCAGTAGCCCATTAGCCAGCGCTGAAATGGTGGTGACCGTATTTGATGTCGTTAGCGTGACTGTGTAGAATGAAAAGATCAAAATAGCCCTTAGTAGAATGGATTAAGTCCAGTGGTCTGCGCAGTTTTCGGATAAGAGGTAGGAAACGGCTGCACGCCCGATAATGGAGTAAAGGCAGAAACGAAGGCAGGCTGCTGTTGCATTTGTGCTGAAGCCTGGGTTTGTGTCTGGCCAAAAGGCAAAGGCTGGCAATAGGGCACAATCATCCCAGTCAACATCGAAGCGACAGGGATGGGTGAAGAGGTAGCTGGCGCCAGATGGGCGATGCGCGAGGCAACAGCAGCCTTGGCAGTAAGTGTAGGAACGGCTTGCAGAGGCGGTGGCAAACCGGAAAGATCGGAAGCACCGAAACCGGTTGGTATCGAAGTCTCAGGCGAGTTAGAAATTGATCCAGTGCCCAATTGGTTGAGAGATGGCTTGATCAGTTGGCCGGATAAGAAGGGATTAGCTGAGCTACCTATTGGGCGGATACCAGTCGTAAACGGATTTGTGGAGGCTATTAAAAATAAAAAAAGAAAGAGACCATAGTGAAAAAACTTAGTATTACATTAGCATGATAAAAAAGAAATCTTCAGAAATTGGAATTAAAAAAATCATTTTTGGTATTGATTGGTGTTAAGTCCAGTGAGAACGTGAAATCTTAAACCCTCTTAGGATAAAAGTATGTGAAATTCAATTATACCACTTGCTAAATCCTAAATATTGGAAGACACGCAATCATATAGATGAATTTCAAATAATCCTTTATATTTAACAAGGTAAGCCTTTACTCAATTACAAAAAGTTGGGTAAAATGAACTCACAAAATGGCCTATTCGTAAAGCGAAGGAGTCTACTAATTGTGACTGCTGACTAAAAGTCATAGGACCCTGATAAATCCGTGTTTAGCTTATGTCTGTTATGTAACAAACACCATGAAATCACTCTAAAAAATGCCACAGAGCCAAGAATGATGTATAGTTACTTAAATACATTATTTTGCCGTCTTATTATTATTGATTTTGTTGTCTTCTTATACACTAGCATAAAAGTGGCTGTTGCCAAACTCTGATTTCCTTGCCTATAATTTGATCCTGAAATGTTGATGTGTGCTCTCATGAGTAGTTGGTGCACAGGTTGCAACGTTCATAGGCCATTGAGGTGGCATAAAAATATCCGGATTCCAAGCTACTCAAGCCTTCTACTCTTACTTGGTAATTTGCCTTGCTCTCTTCCCCTAATTCTATACCATTTACAATTTTAGTTAGTGCTCGATTTCTACAAAGCCTTATCCGTTTCAGGATTATATATGGCTAATTTAAATGAATCCTCAACCTTTCGTGTAGCTAAAAAATACACACACCAAGGAAACTTATGAGCCTTAAGACATTATATTAAGTCAAGGTTTTTACGTTGCCAATAGCAGCTTATTTATTTATTTTTCGTATATAATTAGTTTAAGACGACGAAATATTGGAAGTAGAATTTTCCCACAACGATATGAGTAGAACTGCCGTTTCTATTGAATTTCACAGAACCTTGTTTTCCCAAAGGTTGTTCTCATCCAGGGTGGATTGTAGCTTCGACTTCACATAGGTCTTATCAACACCCCCAGTGGGAGAGGAAGCGTGACAGTGCAGCATGTGAGTCTGACACGTTAACCACTCGGCCACATTGCTACTAGTGCCCTTGGGTCACAGGGAAGATGTGAATTAAAAGGAACATCAGACCTTTTCCCATATCATATTCTTTGGTGGGATTGTCGATGAAGCAAACTTATTTTTGCTATAACAATCAACTACATGGAAAGTATAAGACCAAGATGGTGTGACCTTTTTTGTGGTCGCAGTCTCCTTACGTTGTATAGAGGTTGTTTGATTTTGTCTTCGCAACTTGGTCATATTGGTAGGAAGACTAATAGGAAAGCACCTTGTCCTGAGTCCATTGTATACACAATTATTTCCAAAGTCGGACCGTGGACGCGGTAGATTTCCAGACGTTTC